TAATATTTGTGCGACAAGTCGTCCCGACCCGACGAACCCAACCCAACCCAACCCAACCCGACCAACACATAATTGGGTTGGGTTGGGTTGGGTTTCAAGATTTACATGGGTTGGGTTGGGTTGGGTTGGGTTGGATTTTGAACAAACCAACAATGTTGGGTTGGGTTTGGGTTGGGGCAAAAATCGACCCAACCCACGCCCACCCCTAGTCCCATTTGTTGATTTATGCTTAACATCTTTGTGTGCTCAACCCAGTTCGATCAGCCCAATTGCTCTTAAGTGAATGTGACTCGGGTAGCCCATTACTTTTCACTCTCGCACTTTTGATGAAACACGTTTTTGGTTTGTTAAAATGTTGGCTGAGATTGTGACACGTGGTGCTGGCACAACCGTTGGATGCGTGGTGACTTTATAACTCTCCAGACTGTTCCATTTTGACTGGACGATTTATTCACTCTTCTAGGGTTTTCTTTCCTTCGACATTGCTCTGTATTTTTCTCTCTACTGAAAGGGTTTCAGTCTGTAATCTTTTAGGATAGATGATCTTTGTGATCTAGTGTTGATTACAGTTTGTCTAGTTTGTGTTTCTTTTAGTTCTTCGTGAGTTGAAGTGTTGATTACTTGGTGTAATCTGAAATATGAGAGTTTTAAGTCTAAGGGTTGAATCGAGACATTCTTGGGTCTCTTATTCTTGTATCTTGATAATGTTCTTCGATTCTAGTAGATTAGAGCGTTATTCACTTAGGTGAATAGCCAATTTCTTGGTGAACATCCGGGACTTCGGGCAAAAAATCTCTGTGTTCTTTGTTGCTTGTTAACTTTTGGTACTTTTTGGGACTATAAAATACCAACAGTGGTATCAGAGTGTTCGATCTGTTCTTGGAAGCCCCTGATCTGAGTTTTTTGGGCATTTTTTGGAATCTGGTAGATGATCCTTCACGGATCTGTACAGAGGAGACTTGATCTTCAACTTTTTGTGGAAAAGTAAAATAGTATGGTTTTCACTATTTTACACTATT